CATTGGCAAACTTCAGACGGGCCTGGACATGCGCTGGCTTGAGCAGGGCGACCTGGCGTGCGCTGCAGGATTTTAATCCATGACGGCGTAATGTGTTACTAATGGTTTTCTTTGAGACTGTTGTCCCAGCTCTCTTCAGGTCATTGACCAGGTCCTGCCGTGTAGTTCTGGGATGATCCCTCACCTTCCTCATGATCATTGATGCCCCACGAGGTGAGATCTTGCATGGAGCCCCAGACCGAGGGCTATTGACCGTGATCTTGAACTTCTTCCATTTTCTAATAATTGCGCCAACAGTTGTTGCCTTCTCACCAAGCTGCTTGCCTATTGTCCTGTAGCCCATCCCAGTCTTGTGCAGGTCTACAATTTTATCCCTGATGTCCTTACACAGCTCTCTGGTCTTGGCCATTGTGTAGAGGTTGGAGTCTGTTTGATTGAGTGTGTGGACAGGTGTCTTTTATACAGGTAACGAGTTCAAACAGGTGCAGTTAATACAGGTAATGTGTGGAGAACAGGAGGGCTTCTTAAAGAAAAACTAACAGGTCTGTGAGAGCCGGAATTCTTACTGGTTGGTAGGTGATCAAATAATTATGTCATGCAATAAAATGCAAATTAATTACTTAAAAATCATACAATGTGATTTTCTGGATTTTTGTTTTAGATTCTGTCTCTCACAGTTGAAGTGTACCTATGATAAAAATTACAGACCTCTACATGCTTTGTAAGTAGGAAAACCTGCAAAATCGGCAGTGTATCAAATACTTGTTCTCCCCACTGTATATGCTTAATTTTAAGTTATTTATTTAACTTTAGTTGTGATACAAACGTTGGGCTATATGTTCTGATTTTTAATACATTCTAAGGCTGCATGACTAATGATGATTAGAAAAAAGTTGCATGAAAGGCATGAGCCTTGTTTTTTGTGCAGGCTGTACACACTTCATCAGTCTCTAATTCACAATCTGACAAGCACTTGATAATGCCTCAAATTTTCTGGCGGCATCCCCTTTGTGTGGCCGTAATGCCCCCTTCAAAAATCCACACCTTTTGTGGGCTGAATATAATAACTATAATTCCCTTCACCCAGCTGCATACTCAGAAGCACCTCTCAATCACATGGCTCTCCATCACGTGATCGGGCCTTTCTCACAGGCTACAAGTGAAGACAGACACATCAGGACGACACTGCACTCTTCCTTATCCAATTCCGAGGTGCATATTGAAGATATTGAAAGAACTGTCCACATTTACTTTTCATCAGCCAACCAGATGAGTAAGCATAACGAACTGCAAAAGTACTAGCCTATGTCAATCTACTATCCCCCATAGTACAAAAGTTGACCTATTCTATTCTGTGCGAGAAATAAATATTCCAAACATAGTCTGGGACAGTTGTGGGATGTGATAGATCCCAAATTAATACAACCACTAGCATAATTTTTTTTTTTTAAGCAATGAGGCTGACACAACAAATTAGAACGTGTAGTGTCGAGATAACGATGCTGAGATGCTGTGATGACAAGAAATCCGCTGACACTGTCCTTGATTATAATAGTTTTATTACATCGAAGATCACAACAAATCAGAACATTTAGTTTAAAATGTTTATAAACTATTTGGCTATTTCTTCACATTATAAGCACAGCAACGCGAACACGACCGTAGGCTATAAGCGCAAATGTTCCATTAGATAGGAAAACACCATTCTCAAAAGTGACCGCAAATGCGATTCTGCATGTAATGCTTTTATTATAAAGGTGCATTTTTATGTTGAAAAGGATCTTCCCCAAACTTGAAACTCAAGCGCTGCGTATATATGCCAGTTAGGCTCTATACCCGTTGTAAAGCGGATTAATGTGCTTCATTTAAAGAAGTTATTTGGCCACTTTAGTTATGATATAAACTTTATAAAAACATATAAGCCTATGGGCTAGGCTACATGAGGTGTGCGACTTTGATTTGAAAAAGTTGCAAAAAAAAGAATGCACTGTTTCTTGCCTTAAGCTGGTCATCATTCACAAGAGATAATATATAATTCACAAGTGATAGGCTAATATTGTCACCCATCAAACGTGTCACCCATCTTGTCTTTACATATACTAAATAATATACAGTACGTGTGAAATTTGTTTGGATTTGGAATGGACCATTATCATGCACTGTCTGAAAACAGGGTCAGGGGACAAAAATACATCTCATCAATGCACTTAAAAAGCGAATGGAGGAAGCTTTTCCCGTGGTTAATTTTTATGCCAGCCAGGTAGGCTATACTCCTGTTGTAAGGAGATGCAATGTGCTAAATATTAGGAAAGTTGATAAATAAATATAGTCAGAGTGATGTCAGAGTGATTAGAGGGGCAATAGAGTGCTGAGTACCATGAGGTTAGCAAGTTTGGTAGGATAATAATGACCATCAGCAGCATCAAAGCTTGGAGAAGCCTAACTACCGTGACTAAACGGTCACGTTAAAATTGACTGACGTAATGACTGGCGTGAATACGGTCACCGTAACAGCCATAGGTGCACACTGAATGCCCTCCAGGACACCTACAACACAAGGTATCGCAGGGAGACCCAAGAAAATAATCAGGGACATCATCCACCCAAGCCACAGCCTGTTCTGCATGCTTCCATCACTCAGATGTGGGCAGTACAGGAGCATCATGGCTAGAACTAACAGACTGGCCAACAGCTTTTACCCCCAGACCATCAGGCTGCTGAAACATAACAATGAATGGAAGTTAAAACAGTGAAAAGTGCATAAGAGAGTTTAACTGAGTTTGGTAAAAGTGTTTTTAGATTAAATGCCCCATCATCTTAAAACACTTTGCAAAAGGACAAAACAAAAGATAATTTAATTCTGATTGATGATTTTAAATACCAAATTGGAGGGCTGCTGATCACTGTCTGAACATGTTTTTAAACCTGCTATTTCATTGTGTTGAGAACATTCTATAAAATACAGTTCTGTGATCTCAGACAGTATTGTCCATGACTCTGTAGGGTGAATAAAGTGTTAACTATAATGGCAGTGGCCCTAAGCTGTCCTCATAAACAAACGTACCAGTGAGTCTGTGACCTCACAGTTGTGTTGGTTACTAAACTAACAGCATCATGGTCTGTCAGGAAGTCTGTTTCAGAAGATACCAGATTTGAAACTTTTTGTAGATAGATGAGTTCAAGGTTCTCCATGAGATACTCTATACAAATATTGTTCAGCTCTACTACACACTGTGTCATTGTACTGGATCATCTCCTCCCCTCAGCACCTGCAGTAGGTCCCAGCTGTAGCAGTACAGTCACTGTGCAGTCTGACTGAGGGAGGTTTTTGTACGACTCTGTATCACTGTGTGAACCACCGAGTGCTACCAGGATAGTGGAAACTCTGACAGTAATAATCTCCTGCATCTTCAGCCTGGACTCCACTGATGCTCAGAGTGAAGTCACTATGAGATCCACTGCCACTGAATCTAGATGGAGTCCCAGACTGAAGTGTTGTAGCATAGTAAATAAGGAGTTTAGGAGCTCCTCCAGGTTTCTGGTGGTACCAGGCTAGATAGTTATTAGAATACACATTACTGCTGGTTTTACAGTTCAGAGAGACTGTCTGTCCTTGGAGAACAGCTTTCACTGCAGGAGTCTGAGTCACAACGTACTGTCCTCTGGATTCTGAAAAATAGAATACAAACATTTATATGAAATGAATATTACATATAGTAAACAATAGTTCTGAATAAAAAAAGAATGTTAATATACATTATACTTTTGTGTAGCTGTAATAGTTTTAAATATTAACATTAATAGAAATTGATCCTTTCTGTAAAGATATATTTTTTCAACAATAAATTTGGAAAATGTTAACCTTGAAAGCAGAAAGCAAGTGTCCAGATGAAGATGGTGATAAAAGTCATGGTTGTTGTGGGTTCTGTTGTCAAGAAGGACAGCTCTCAGTCATGAAGTGTTCAACTCACAGGGATATAAACACTCCCAGAGCAGCTGGGCAGATGCATTATGCAAATGAATGTTTCAAATCTATTTCAGTTTCCAAATAGGCTGCCATAATTAGAATGTCTTTTATCTTGCATGTAAAATCAAACCGTAACTGTTTACTCTGATATCTGATGCATGGTAACTTTTATGTCACACCACCATTGTATTTTATTCTGATGATGATCAGATATAATGAACTGTCTTTTCACTCATGCTTGGTCTCTTATGTAAGTTCCTCTAATCAGTTAGTGAACACTTCTCTAAACTAAAGCTGGTAGGATTCCTCTGGTAGTGTTGTCTGTCCTCTGTGACTTTACCAACACTGTTAAATCTGAGATCAACATCTTTAATAAAGGAATATACAACATGGATCACTATCAGTACTGCTGCTGCTGTTGTCTTTCATATGGACAATATGGAGGAATACTAGCAACACTGGATCTAATGCTGGACTGTACCTACAGACTAGGAGAACACCTGATACACAGAAGAAGGAAAAAAGACTCATATCTGGATTTAAGATACAATTCATATTTGTATTATCTAGAAACAGCTTATATAAAGTTTTTGTTCTACCTGGAAGATGTTAAAGTGTATTTGTGTTGATTATGCTTCTGTATGAGTGATCTTCACTGTAACAGCTTCAGCATCACAACACAGAGAGGTTTTTGTACCAGCAGTAATAGGGATTGTATCACTGTGGTGGACTTTTGGTAGCGGCTCCAGACTTGATGTTGGAAGTAAATAAACACAAAATTAACTGTTTTATTCAGCATTTGATGTCATGAGTCAATATCTCTATTAATTGTGCCTCAATATTGAGGATTTTTAAAATAAAAAAATAAAAAATGATTTTTTGAATAATAGACAAGGCCTACACATACTATGGCCAATTTGAACATGAATGTTATTACATATAATCACATTTGACCTACATTTTTCTATGATGAGAGTGATTAGCCTACATTTTGGATTAGTTGTATGAATCAACATACTGCACCTAGTAGGAAATGTACAAGAAAAAGTAGGTTTTGCTCAATGTTAAGGACAACTAAATAAAAAACACTCTATTTCAAATTGAGTAGATTAAATATTTTCTGAAAAGTATTCACACTGTAGTAGAGTTAATTATTTGAACCACAGTCCAAAGAAATTCAGCTTGCCACATGTGCAGGAGGTTTTTGTACCAGCAGTAATAGGGATTGTATCACTGTGGTACACTTTTGGTAGCGGCACCAGACTAGATGTTGGAAGTAAGTAACAAGCTCTTTTGATATTAATGTCAGCTAATTTTTGGGGGTATTTGACTTTCTTAAACTCTGTCTACGAACATTTTGCGATTTTACATATTTTACTTTCTAAAAAATATAGTTATTTCTATTACTTTTGACGAAGCCTTCTTTCAAATAACATTTTATTTAACCAAAATGTTAAAATGTAGGTGTTTATTTATATGACTGGTTTGATGGATTGAAGAGTATAATTCTAGAATGATAACTACTTAATAATATTGAATATAGTTGTTGCATTGTGTATTACTGTTTGTGTGCGATTGTTGATCTTTAACTCTCAAATATTTTTAGTTAAATTTAGCTTTTGAATGAGCCTTCTTTCAAATATATATTTATTGAATCAAAATGATAAATTGTAGGATTATTTGAATGTCTGATTCATATATTTCCTAATTCTGATATAATAACTATTTAATAATGTAATAGTATAGTATATAGTATTCATCATTGTTGCATTGTGTTCATGGTAGACTTCACTGTTAGTGTGAAGACAAAGGGTCTCAGTTATGTTTGTAACAGACTTCAAGGTTGATATGTGAATAAAATATATTATTTTCATATTTAGAAGGCATTTCCAATTCACTTTATTTTGATGTGTCCTTTTGCTGAAGATAATATCTTACTGTAGCTGTACTTGATGTAGTTACTTAGTTGATGTGTTCTGTTTGTTCAAGGTAACAGAGCCCCCACCCTCACCGTCCTGGCCCCCTCTAGTGAGGAGCTGTCCACTAGAACAACAGTCACACTGACGTGTCTGGCCAACAAGGGCTTCCCCTCAGACTGGACCATGAGCTGGAAAGTGGACGGGACCAGCAAGAAGCAGGAGGCCAGTCCCGGGGTCCTGGAGAAGGATGGCCTGTACAGCTGGAGCAGCATCCTGACTCTCACTGCCCAGGAGTGGACCAAGGCAGGAGAGGTGACCTGTGAATCCCAGCAGAAATCCCAGACTCCAGTCACCAAGACCCTGAGGAGGGCTGATTGTTCTGGGTAGGACCCCTCAGTCACACAGCCCTGTGGAGAGAGGCTACTGGTTCCTCTGCTTTGACTCTGTTCTGAGATCAGATGTTATATGTCTTATTGATCACTGACATGTAGACTAACAGATGGCTTTGCTTGAGTTCATGTGTCAATCCTCTCTGTAGACTGAGGTTGTATCAGTGTTAGATTTGATGTCTTCTGCTTTATTACTATTAGATACTGTAGGAATGTTTGCTTTGATGCTTTGATTAATAGATGAAAATAAAGATTTCCCTTTGGAACAAATATTTTTGATGTCTCTTTCAATAATTAGATTTTAGTCTTAAATGTTGTTGAATGATATAAAATTATATTTATAAAGCCTTGTTGACAGTTTGAAAACTATGAGACCTAAATGTCGTTGCTTAGTTATTTATGTTCTTACTTGAAACCACAACATCATCAACCAGTAGTTCATATTAACACAATATGCTACAATGTTAACAGATTAACAGGATATATTTTGATACTACAATGTTAACAGATTAACAGGAGAGGTCTAGATACTACAATGTTAACAGATTAACGGGAGAGGTCTATATACTACAATGTTAACAGCTTAACAGGAGAGGTCTAGATACTACAATGTTAACAGATTAACAGGAGACGTATAGATACTACAATGTTAACAGATGAACAGGAGAGGTCTAGATACTACAATTTTAACAGATTAACAGGAGAGGTCTAGATACTACAATGTTAACAGATTAACAGGAGAGGTCTAGATACTACAATGTTAACAGATTAACAGGAGACGTTTAGATAATACAATGTTAACAGATTAACAGGAGAGGTCTAGATGCTACAATTTTAACAGATTAACAGAAGAGGTCTAGATGCTACAATTTTAACAGATTAACAGGAGAGGTCTAGATACTACAATGTTAACAGATTAACAGGAGAGGTCTAGATACTACAATGTTAACAGATTAACAGGAGAGGTCAAGATACTACAATGTTAATAGATTATCAGGAGAGGTCTAGACACATGTAGTAGATGGTACTCCTTATTCATCTTTCTTAGCACAGATTTTGACCTGCTTGATTTATAGATTTGTAAAGGCAGTAATCTACAGATGTAGGATCTTCATTTTGATCATCCTGTTGCAGGAGATCCGTCACGCAATGCTTGACATTAACATTTGCAGTGTATTTGAGGTTTAAAAAGGATTCTGAATTTAGTAATTTCCACTTTCAAATTTCAGACTTGATTTTCCTATACGATAAATGTATCAACCCCTACAAAAATATCAACACAACAAGCAACAATTTTGCTGATTTTACTGATTTACAGTTCATATAAGGAAACCAGTCAATTGAAATAAATGTATTAGGCGCTAATCTATGGATATCACATGACTGGATAGTGTAACAGCCATGAGTGGGGATGGTAGGGCATAGGCCCACCCACTGGGGAGCCACAGGCCCAGCCAATCAGAATGAGTTTTTCCCCACAAAAGTGCTTTATTATAGACAGAAATACTCCTCAGTTTCATCAGCTGTCCAGGTGGCTGGTCTCAGACGATCCCACAGGTGAAGAAGCCAGATGTGGTCCTGGGCTGGAGTGGTTACCCGTGGTCTGCGGTTGTGAGGCCGGTTGGACATACTGCCAAATTCTCTAAAACGACGTTGGAAGCGGCTTATGGTAGATAAATGTACATTCAATTCACTGCCAGCAGCTCTGGTGGACATTCCTGCAGTCAGCATGCCAATTGCACGCTTCCTCAAAACGTGAGACATCTGTGACATTGTGTTGTGCGACAAAACTGCACATTTTAGAGTGGCCTTTTATTGTCCCCAGCACAAGGTGTACCTGTGTAATGATCATGCTGTTTAATCAACTTCTTGATATGCCACACTTGTCAGGTGGATGGACTATCTTGGTAAAGGAGAAATGCTCACTAACAGGGATGTAAAGAAATGTCTGCACAAAATTTGAGATAAAGAAGCTTTTTTTTGCGTATAATTACAATCAACATAATAATTCACATTTCCTGTTGATCCAGTATTATTTTCCTGCTGTAGCAAACTGGCTCAAATTAAGATCCTACATCTGTAACGCCATTGAACATTTTATTAATATCTTGGACTCTCACCAATGTGATTACACCTGCATTAAGCTAAATTAGTTTGAAAAGTTACCTTCATAGTATTACAAGAATCACATCTTCAAGATAGTCATAGTCTTCTCTACCTCCAACCCCCTGGGGACAGAGTGTACATCTGGTGACAGTACTGTTCTATTCTGGGACAAGCTGAACCACCCAGTCCTGTCTATGTAAATCTCAGTTTCACTCCCATAGCTACCAGTCTAGCAGTTGAACAGTTTCACTGCCTGCAACACCCTGGACTGGGCCAGATGTGAGGGAGTGACTGGTTTTAACCTCTGTGGTGGATTCAGGAAGGGAGACATAACAGATATTCCACCATGTAATTAATGACAGATAAAATGGGTATTATACTGTATGTAGATATGTGCATACACATGTATAATGTTTGTGCCCCGCATCATGTCTCGTTCACAGATCTAACAGTCAGTAACCTGCTCATCAAAATAGTTAATATAATGCTAGACAATCACATCAATATTTGGTTGTGAGGTACAGTACATATGGGGATTTTATCTAGGGGGGGTTGATGCTGATGTAACATCGTCTTCACTTGAATATGGACTGGTATTGTGAATGTTTCCTAACTTCAAATAATGTTTATAGGTGCACTTTCAGGCTGTGACACATATAACGAGTCACAACCATGACATGACGATGATGGTGGTGATGATGATGATGATGGAAAACATGTGGTCTGAATGATGCTTTCTAAACATATTCAAAGTTGACCTCCTCTACTGTCCAGTGTTCCATGTCACTGTCTCTTCCCCCTCAGCACCTGCAGTAGGTCCCAGCTGTAGCAGTACAGTCACTGTGCAGTCTGACTGAGGGAGGTTTTTGTACGACTCTGTATCACTGTGTGAACACATATTTACTATTGGGATAGTGGAAACTCTGACAGTAATAATCTCCTGCATCTTCAGCCTGGACTCCACTGATGCTCAGAGTGAAGTCACTATGAGATCCACTGCCACTGAATCTAGATGGAGTCCCAGACTGAAGTGTTGTAGCATAGTAAATAAGGAGTTTAGGAGCTCCTCCAGGTTTCTGGTGGTACCAGGCTAGATAGTTATTAGAATACACATTACTGCTGGTTTTACAGTTCAGAGAGACTGTCTGTCCTTGGAGAACAGCTTTCACTGCAGGAGTCTGAGTCACAACGTACTGTCCTCTGGATTCTGAAAAATAGAATACAAACATTTATATGAAATGAATATTACATATAGTAAACAATAGTTCTGAATAAAAAAAGAATGTTAATATACATTATACTTTTGTGTAGCTGTAATAGTTTTAAATATTAACATTAATAGAAATTGATCCTTTCTGTAAAGATATATTTTTTCAACAATAAATTTGGAAAATGTTAACCTTGAAAGCAGAAAGCAAGTGTCCAGATGAAGATGGTGATAAAAGTCATGGTTGTTGTGGGTTCTGTTGTCATGAAGGACAGCTCTCAGTCATGAAGTGTTAAACTCACAGGGATATAAACACTTCCAGAGCAGTAAGGCAGATGCATTATGCAAATGAATGTTTCAAATCTATTTCAGTTTCCAAATAGGCTGCCATAACAAGAATGTATTTTATCTTGCATGTAAAATCAAACCGTAACTGTTTACTCTGATATCTGATGCATTGTAACTTTTATGTCACACCACCATTTTATTTTATTCTGATGATGATCAGATATAATGAACTGTCTGTTCACTCATGCTTGGTCTCTTATGTAAGTTCCTCTAATCAGTTAGTGAACACTTCTCTAAACTAAAGCTGGTAGGATTCCTCTGGTAGTGTTGTCTGTCCTCTGTGACTTTACCACCACTGTTAAATCTGAGATCAACATCTTTAATAAAGGAATATACAACATGGATCATTATCACTGCTGCTGCTGCTGTTGTTTTTATGGAGGAATACTCGCTACACTGGATCTAATGCTGGACTGTACCTACAGACTAGGAGAACACCTGATACACAGAGGAAGAAAAAAATAATAATATCTGGATTTAAGATACAATTCATATTTGTATTATCTAGAAACAGCTTATATGAAGTGTTTGCTCTACCTGGAAGATGTTAAAGTGTATTTGTGTTGATTATGCTTCTGTATGAGTGATCTTCACTGTAACAGCTGCAGCATCACAACACAGAGAGGTTTTTGTACCAGCAGTAATAGGGATTGTATCACTGTGGTGGACTTTTGGTAGTGGCACCAGAGTTGATGTAGGAAGTAAGTAAACACAAAATTAACTGTTTTATTCAGCATTTGATGTCGTGAGTCAATATCTCTATTAATTGTGCCTCAATATTGAGGATTTTTTAAATAAAAATTAAAAAAAAGATTTTTTGAAAAATAGACAAGGCCTACACATACTATGGCCAATTTGAACATGAATTTTATTACATATAATCACATTTGACCTACATTTTTCTATGATGAGAGTGATTAGCCTACATTTTAGATTAGTTGTATGAATCAACATACTGCACCTAGTAGGAAATGTACAAGAAAAAGTAGATTTTGCTCAATGTTAAGGAAAACTAAATAAAAAACACTCTATTTCAAATTGAGTAGATGAAATATTTTCTGAAAAGTATTCATACTGTAGAAGAGTTAATTATTTGAACCACAGTCCAAAGAAATTCAGCTTGCCACATGTGCAGGAGGTTTTTGTAGCAGCAGTAATAGGGATTGTATCACTGTGGGCCACTTTTGGTAGCGGCACCAGACTTGATGTTGGAAGTAAGTAACAAGCTCTTTTGATATTAATGTCAGCTAATTTTTGGGGGTATTTGACTTTCTTAAACTCTGTCTACGAAAATATTGCGATTTTACATTTTTTAATTTTTTTAAAATGTAGTTATTTCTATTACTTTTGACGAAGCCTTCTTTCAACTAACATTTTATTTAACCAAAATGTTAAAATGTAGGTGTTTATTTATATGACTGGTTTGATGGATTGCAGAGTATAATTCTAGAACGATAACTATTTAATGATATTGAATATAGTTGTTGCATTGTGTATTACTGTTTGTGTGCGATTGTTGATCTTTAACTCTCAAATATTTTTTGTTAAATTTAGCTTTTGAATGAGCCTTCTTTCAAATATATATTCATTGAATCAAAATTATAAATTGTAGGATTATTTGAATGTCTGATTTATATATTTCCTAATTTTGATATAATAACTATTTAATAATTTAATAGTATAGTATATAGTATTCATCATTGTTGAATTGTGTTCATGGTAGACTTCACTGTTAGTGTGAAGACAAAGGGTCTCAGTTATGTTTGTAACAGACTTCGTGATCTAACAAGGTTGATATGTGATGAAAATATATTATTTTCATATTTAGAAGGCATTTCCAATTCACTTTATTTTGATGTGTCCTTTTGCTGAAGATAATCTCTTACTGTAGCTGTACTTGATGTAGTTACTTAGTTGATGTGTTCTGTTTGTTCCAGGTAACAGAGCCCCCACCCTCACCGTCCTGGCCCCCTCTAGTGAGGAGCTGACCAGTAAAACAACAGCCACACTGACGTGTCTGGCCAACAAGGGCTTCCCCTCAGACTGGACCATGAGCTGGAAACTGGATGGGACCAGCAAGAAGCAGGAAGCCAGTCCCGGGGTCCTGGAGAAGGACGGCCTGTACAGCTGGAGCAGCATCCTGACTCTCACTGCCCAGGAGTGGACCAAGGCAGGAGAGGTGACCTGTGAAGCCCAGCAGAAATCCCAGACTCCAGTCACCAAGACCCTGAGGAGGGCTGACTGTTCTGGGTAGGACCCCTCAGTCACACAGCCCTGTGGAGAGAGGTTGCTGGGTCCTCTGCTTTGACTCTGTTCTGAGATCAGATGTTATCTGTCTTATTGATCACTGACATGTAGACTAACAGATGGCTTTGCTTGAGTTCATGTGTCAATCCTCTCTGTAGACTGAGGTTGTATCAGTGTTAGATGTGATGTCTTCTGCTTTATTACTATTAGATACTGTAGGAATGTTTGCTTTGATGCTTTGATTAATAGATGAAAATAAAGTTTTCCCTTTGGAACAAATATTTTTGATGTCTCTTTCAATAATTTGATTTTAGTCTTAAATGTTGTTGAATGATTTAGAATTATATTTATAAAGCCTTGTTGACAGTTTGAAAACTATGAGACCTAAATGTCATTGCTTAGTTATTTATGTTCTCACTTGAAACCACAAAGTCATCAACCAGTAGTTCATATTAACACAATATACTACAATGTTAACAGATTAACAGGAGAGGTCTAGATACTACAATGTTAACAGATTAACAGGAGAGGTCTAGATACTACAATGTTAACAGATTAACAGGAGACATTTTGATACTACAATGTTAACAGATTAACAGGAGAGGTCTAGATACTACAATGTTAACAGATTAACAGGAGACGTTTAGATAATACAATGTCAACAGATTAACAGGAGAGGTCTAGATGCTACAATGTTAACAGATTAACAGGAGTGGTCTAGATACTACAATTTTAACAGATTAACAGGAGAGGTCTAGATACTACAATGTTAACAGATTAACAAGAGACGTCTAGATACTACAATGTTAATAGATTATCAGGAGAGGTCTAGACACATGTAGTAGATGTTACAGGGGCTGAGTCACTGGCTTGCTGGTGCTCTTTCATGCCATCCCTAGGAGGGGTGCGTCACTTGAGTGGGTTGAGTTACTGACGTGATCTTCCTGTCTGGGTTGGCGCCCCCCCTTGGTTTGTGCTGTGGTGGAGACCTCTGTGGGCTATACTCGGCCTTGTCTCAGGATTGTAAGTTGGTGGTTGAGGATATCCCTCTAGTGGTGCGGGGGCTGTGCTTTGGCAGAGTGGGTGGGGTTATATCCTTCCTGTTTGGCCCTGTCCGGGGGTTTCTTCGGATGGGGCCACAGTGTCTCCGGACCGCTCCTGTCTCAGCCTCCAGTATTTATGCTGCAGTAGTTTATGTGTCGGGGGGCTGGGGTTAGTTGTTTATACCTGGAGTACTTCTCCTGTCTTATCCAGTGTCCTGTGTGAATTTAAGTATGCTCTCTCTAATTCTCTCGTTCTCTCTTTCTCTCTGAGAACCTGAGCCCTAGGACCATACGTCAGGACTACCGGGCATGATGACACCTTGCTGTCCCCAGTCCGCCTGGCCTTGCTGCTATTCCAGTTTCAACTGTTCTGCCTGCGGTTACGAAACCCCTACCTGTCCCAGACCTGCTGTTTTCAACTCTTAATGATCGGCTATGAAAAGCCAACTGAGAGACCTGAGCCCTAGGACCATACGTCGGGACTACCGGCCGTGGTGACTCCTTGCTGTCCCCAGTCCGCCTGGCCTTGCTGCTATTCCAGTTTCAACTGTTCCGCCTGCGGTTATGGAACCCCTACCTGTCCCAGACCTGCTGTTTTCAACTCTTAATGATCGGCTATGAAAAGCCAACTGAGATTTATTCCTGATTATTATTTGACCATGCTTGTCACTTATGAACATTTTTTGAACATCTTGGCATGGTTCTGTTATAATCTCCACCCGGCACAGCCAGAAGAGGACTGGCCACCCCTCATAGCCTGGTTCCTCTCTAGGTTTCTTCCTAGGTTTTGGCCTTTCTAGGGAGTTTTTCCTAGCCACCGTGCTTCTACACCTGCATTACTAGCTGTTTGGGGTTTTAGGCTGGGTTTCTGTACAGCACTTCGAGATATTAGCTGATGTAAGAAGGGCTATATAAAATAAAATTGATTGATTGATTGATTGACTCCTTATTCATCTTTCTTAGCACAGTTTTTGACCTGCTTGATTTATAGATTTGTAAAGGCAGTAATCTACAGATGTAGGATCTTCATTTTGATCATCCTGTTGCAGGAGATCCGTCACGCAATGCTTGACATTAACATTTGCAGTGTATTTGAGGTTTAAAAAGGATTCTGAATTTAGTAATTTCCACTTTCAAATTTCAGACTTGATTTTCCTATACGAAAAATGTATCAACCCCTACGAAAATATCAACACAACAAGCAACAATTTTACTTATTTTACTGATTTACAGTTCATATAAGGAAACAAGTCAATTGAAATAAATGTATTAGGCGCTAATCTATGGATATCACATGACTGGATAGTGTAACAGCCATGAGTGGGGATGGTAGGGCATAGGCCCACCCACTGGGGAGCCAGGCCCAGCCAATCAGAATGAGTTTTTCCCCACAAAAGTGCTTAATTATAGACAGAAATACTCCTCAGTTTCATCAGCTGTCCAGGTGGCTGGTCTCAGACGATCCCACAGCTGAAGAAGCCAGATGTGGTCCTGGGCTGGAGTGGTTACCCGTGGTCTGCGGTTGTGAGGCCGGTTGGACATACTGCCAAATTCTCTAAAATGACGTTGGAAGTGGCTTATGGTAGATAAATGTACATTCAATTCTCTGCCAGCAGCTCTGGTGGACATTCCTGCAGTCAGAATGCCAATTGCACGTTTCCTCAAAACGTGAGACATCTGTGACATTGTGTTGTGCGACAAAACTGCACATTTTAGAGTGGCCTTTTATTGTCCCCAGCACAAGGTGTACCTGTGTAATGATCATGCTGTTTAATCAACTTCTTGATATGCCACACTTGTCAGGTGGATGGACTATCTTGGCAAAGGAGAAATGCTCACAAATGTGTGCACAAAATTTGAGATAAAGAAGCTTTTTTTTGCGTATAATTACAATCCACATAAAAATTCACATTTCCTGTTGATCCAGTATTATTTTCCTGCTGTAGCAAACTGGCTCAAATTAAGATCCTACATCTGTAACGCCATTGAACATTTTATCAATATCTTGGACTCTCACCAATGTGATTACACCTGCATTAAGCTAAATTAGTTTGAAAAGTTACCTTCATAGTATTACAAGAATCACATCTTCAAGATAGTCATAGTCTTCTCTACCTCCAAACCCCTGGGGACAGAGTGAACATCTGGTGACAGTGCAGCTCTATTCTGGGACAAGCAGAACCACCCAACCCTGTCTATGCAAATCTCAGTTTCACTCCCACAGCTACCAGTCTAGCAGTTGAACAGTTTCACTGCCTGAAACACCCTGGACTGGGCCAGATGTGAGGGAGTGACTGGTTTTAACCTCTGTTGTGGATTCAGGAAGGGAGACATAACAGATATTCCACCATGTAATTAATGACAGATAAAATGGGTATTATACTGTATGTAGATATGTGCATACACATGTATAATGTTTGTGCCCCGCATCATGTCTCGTTCACAGATCTAACAGTCAGTAACCTGCTCATCAAAATAGTTAATATAATGCTAGACAATCACATCAATATTTGGTTGTGAGGTACAGTACATATGGGGATTTTATCTAGGGGGGGTTGATGCTGATGTAACATCGCCTTCACTTGAATATGGACTGGTATTGTGAATGTTTCCTAACTTCAAATAATGTTTATAGGTGCACTTTCAGGCTGTGACACATATAACGAGTCACAACCATGTCATGATGATGGTGATGACGATGATGATGGAGAACATGTGATCTGAATGATGCTTTCTTAACATATTCAAAGTTTAACTCCTCTACTGATCAGTGTTCCATGTCACAGTGTCCCCCTCAGCACCTGCAGTAGGTCCCAGCTGTAGCAGTACAGTCACTGTGCAGTCTGACTGAGGGAGGTTTTTGTACGGCTCTAAATCACTGTGTGAACACATTACCAGTGTGTACACTCTGACAGTAGTAATCTCCTGCATCTTCAGCATGGACTCCACTAATGGTCAGAGTGAAGTCACTCCCAGATCCACTGCCACTGAATCTAGATGGAGTCCCAGAGAAGAGGGTGCTTCCATAGTAGACCAGTGCTTTAGGTGTTTCTCCAGGTTTCTGTTGATACCAGGCTAAACATGGTTTACCTGAACCCCCACAGTCAGGATACACATCACTGCTGGCTTTACAGTTCAGAGAGACTGGCTGTCCTGGGAGAACAGTTTTCACTGCAGGAGTCTGAGTCACAGTGTACTGTCCTCTGGAATCTGAAACAGAGAGACAACTGATAATTGTACATCACCAGGAATTAATAACACATTCTTAACCTTAACCTTCAGTTCACTCAGACTGATTACTTTTCATTATACAAACATGGAACTTAATTTTCTTTACCATTGATGTAGAAGGCAAGTGTCCAGATGAAGATGGTGATAAAAGTAATGGTTGTTGTGGGTTCTGTTGTCATGAAGGACAGCTCTCAGTCATGAAGTGTTAAACTCACAGGGATATAAACACTCCCAGACCACTGAAGCATGTGCTGTCTATGCAAAGTGTCCTCACTATGCAAACTTACTTTTTTGGTCCCTACGGGAAACTGTAGTTGAAGGGATCTGTGTGAACAGCAGAATTTAAAAGGTTTGAGGCGGATTGTCTAGCCAATCACGGCCTTGATTGGTAAACAAGCCTCATGTGAGCTCAATCAAAGGCTGGGAAGGTTCTGGAAGGTTCTAGCCTGGCGTAGCAGGAGAGACGTTATGCCTTGACAGAACCTTCAATTGTTTAATTGGGTTATCATCATGTTATATCGTCTCAAAGCAAAGTGTCATATGTAATTATAAACTGGGTTGTTTGTGCCCTGAATGCTGATTGGCTGACAGTCTTGGTATTTGAGAACGTATACTACAGGTATGACAAAACATGTATTTTTACTGCTCTAATTACGTTGGTGACCAGTTTATAATAGAAACATGTTCCCTTGGTGGTTTGTGATATATGGACAATATTCCATGGCTA